TGCCGCCGGAATTTAGTGCTTGGACGGGCATCAGCGCTTTCGATGTGTTTGACAACAGCTTAAGTGGTACCCTACCTTCAGCATACAGCTCTTGGTCCAGTCTCACGTTTTTTCGTGCCGCCAGCAATCCCCTGACTGGAGCACTTCCGTCGAGCTACTCTGCCTGGAGAAACATTCAACAAATTCTTATCTACGCCACAAGTATCAGCGGCTCGCTTCCTCACGAATGGAGTCAACTTGCCACTCTCAACTCCCTTTTACTTTTTCAAAATCAGCTTTCTGGGACACTGCCGGAATCCTTTGCAAGTTTATCTAAGCTTACCGCGCTTAATGTCGCCGTAAACAGTATCAGTGGCTCGCTCCCTGCCGCGTGGATGAAGCTTAGCGGTGTCCAATCGATGATCTTGCAAGATAACCCAAGTCTCAGCGGAAACATGAACAGCTCCTCCTGGTCAGGCGTGTTTTCGCCTGCATTCTTTATGGCAGTGATTTCCATTTGCCGGACAAACATTTGCGCTTCATCCGCCATCACCACCTTAGGTTACGGTTGTATTCCCTCCAGCAATATCTCTATTTTGAGTAGCCTTGACCTCAGCACGATTACATCCCTCATGAGCATTGCGGTCTGGAGCACCACGCAATTAGGACCTTCGTGCTCGGGCACACCAATCCCAACAAGCCACATCCAAACACTTCCCATCTATGAAGTCACGCGAACAGCAACGGCGCTGCAGAACCTAGAGAACGACACAGGCACTGATGATGTTGCAGCACGACGTGTTGCGAGCGCGACTAGCATTGCAGTCCCCGTTGTCGCACTTGCTGGAAGTCTTCTTGGAGGCGCCAACGCAGCCGAGCTTCAGATGCTCTCGTCGGTGCTCTCATCGCCGTGTATGTGCGGCGGACCTTCCGGCATGATCACTCAACAAACCAAGCAAATGTCACTTACCACATCCCCATTCGCCCAACTTGGCGGACCAGAATATGTTGTCTTTGGCAACCTCGGGGCGATGATCACCGTCACTGTTACGCATTGTGCTGCGGTGATGATTGTTCGGCGGAAAAATGGTGTCTCTCCCGTTTTTGCTCGAAGCAGAACAACGAGCGCTCTTGGAGAAGAGAAAAACGCCATAGTTCTTTCGTCACTGCGTTTTCCAAGCGTTAGCATTCAATTTGCCCTATTTCTTGTTCCTGGGACGCTTAAAGCTACTGTTGCCTCGGCCAGTGCTGCTGCTCTGACGACGACGCATCCACCCGCTGAAACGATTGCGGCATGTGTTGTGGGGTTGCTATCCGTTTGCGCTCTAGCAGTAATCTTTGAAGTCTGTGTGTATCGACAACGCGTTTTGACCATCCCCCTAAAATTCTTCAGCTACAAGCCCCAGCTCGAGGAAACAAACGTTCCGAAGAAAGTTGCGCTCCTTTGTCTTCCGAGTGGCTACTGGGGGCCACAGCACTGTGCACGACAGTACGCTGTGCTTGTAGGCGGTTTGCGAGGGCGACGATTTTCTCACTTGTGGAGGCTTCTGCCATGTGCGAATTTGATGATTCAACTCCTGAGTAGCTTACCTGGTAACACCGCCGCTGGTTGTAATGCACTATTGGCGCTTTGCATGTTTGTTGCATTTGCTACAGCGGTCGTGTGGGCGGCTCTTAGACCTGCAAGAACACTGATGGTAGGAATCATGACCGTCGCTTCATTGGTGGCTGTGGCTGCGGTTACGGGACTCGGTTTTCTTTGCCGATACCAAATGACAAGTGAAAATGATATCCTTTTAGCCGCTCTTGCGGCCTCATGCGTCGGCATTGCAAGTACCATTGTATCCACTGCGGTTGGCGTTGCCGAGAACGTTGTGTTCGTACCACGCGTACCCCCCGCAAACCTGCAATCCTCAAACGAGGCAGCAGTGAAGTCAATTGTGCAACAGATGCCGCACAACACGATGCACATTTGGACAACGAACCCAACCTTCAGTATAGATGGAGGTACAGGCACTGCGTCGTTGGGCACTGAATCTTCAGCATCCAGCGTCGCTCTCAATGGGTTGATTGATTTTATCTGCTTGCATCGCCGTGGTGGTTATTCTTTGCACGAAAGAGAAAACAGTTTCTCACTTTTATGACCAACGTGGGGCGTTTTAATGTGTCTGGTGTTGATAGCACATTAAACGAGTTTATGCCCCGAAAACCTGTGTTCTTTTACCGTGAATGCCGAGCCCGGCAAGTGTATCCTCTCCCCCCGTAAACTATCCCATGTTTCAATATTTTTGGTTACCCTCTTTTACGTCTATTGTGTTGGGGCTTCGCGATAAACAAAACACATACACCAATCGTTCTGTAAAGAAGAAAAGAGAAAGGAAGTCAGTGGAATTTTATTTTGAACCGCGATCGAACCGAATTATTTGCTTTGTGGGAGTTTTTTTGTGTATTACCAATCAACGCGAGTGCTACAAAAACGTTGGTAGAGGCTTTTTAAAAAAGAAATGTGACACAAAAGTGATTTGTATCGCCATGTCACTCTTTTGTTGTTTTTCAAAACCTCTCACATCTTCTTGCAAGTCTATCAACAATACCAACTCTCTGTTTCCCTTCTGTTGCTTATTCAAATACGACAAAAAAATGGTTTGCAGATATTAGTTTCAGGAGTGTTTACAGAATCGAACCCGCTTTTTTTTTCGTTTGTGTTCAAGTTTAGAGTGTCATGAACGTACCGTGCTTCACAGTTCTAGTGGCAACCGTACTTTTATTCGTCTGTAGCGGCAGCGACAACACCAACCCCACCGCTGAGCGAGCCGCTTTGATCTCGTTTTACGAAGCGACAAACGGTGCCGGGTGGATCCTCAACAACGCAACAGTGCCTGCCAATGACAGTTGCACAGGCACTGGAACTAACTTGTGGGACGTATTGAATCCTACTTCCAAGTACTGCTGTTGGTTTTGGCATATTTTGCCTCTACATTAACACGCTGACCAAAATACGAGTGTATGGTGTTGGACGAATTGGCCTCGCCGGATGTGGGCTGACTGGTACCCTCCCGTCGAGTAATACGTGGTGCAGTTCACTGCCGATTTTAGAGATGTTGTCATTACCCAACAATACCCTGCGTGGCACTATTCCAGCGTCGTTAGGGCAGTGCACTGGTATGAACTACATTTACTTGTACAATAACCAACTCAGTGGCACGCTTCCAAGCCAATTGGCGGCGTTTGGGACTCAAACTTTTTAAGTTTGATATCACCAGCACCAACTCCACTCTCAGGAACCTTTTTCCCCCCAGCTACGCGAACTGGACAAAGGTTTCATCGTTTGATGTTGTAACACCAACGCCCTCTCCGGAACTTTTCCACGCTAGCTACGGTAGCTGGAGCAACCTAGTCACGTTATCAGCGTGGAACAATGCTTTTTCCGGAAGTCTTCCCAGCGAATACAAAAATTGGACAAGCATCTCCACATTTGATGTTGGCGGAAATTTCCTTTCCGGAACATTGCCTCCGGAATATTCGGCATGGGGCGGTATCTTCCTTTTTTCAGTGAGAACCAACAATCTTTCTGGAACGCTGCCACCGCAGTATGGTGCGTGGACAGAAATTGACACGTTTCGCGTCGCAAACAACAACATGTTAGTTGGAACTCTTCCTGCAAGCTATGGTGCATGGGCACAAGCCACCCAAATTTATTTGTACAATGCAAATTTCAGTGGGTCGATTCCAGACTCGTGACTCAACTTTTTTAAGTTTGATGTCAGCACCAACTTACTCTCTGGAACTTTTCCCGCTAGCTACGGTAGCTGGAGCAACCTAGTCACGTTATCAGCGTGGAACAATGCTTTTTCCGGAAGTCTTCCCAGCGAATACAAAAATTGGACAAGCATCTCCACATTTGATGTTGGCGGAAATTTCCTTTCCGGAACATTGCCTCCGGAATATTCGGCATGGGGCGGTATCTTCCTTTTTTCAGTGAGAACCAACAATCTTTCTGGAACGCTGCCACCGCAGTATGGTGCGTGGACAGAAATTGACACGTTTCGCGTCGCAAACAACAACATGTTAGTTGGAACTCTTCATGCAAGCTATGGTGCATGGGCACAAGCCACCCAAATTAAACCCAACTATTTATTTGTACAATGCAAATTTCAGTGGGTCGATTCCAGACTCGTGGTCTGGTATGTCGTCCATGCAGACATTGCAAATGTTCGTCAACAGCCTCACAGGGACGTTGCCAGCTGCGTTTGGTAACTTTGCGCAACTCATTTCTTTAAACGTTGCGTTCAACAACTTTACAGGTGATGTTCCCGTACTGGCGTCGTCAAAGCTTCGGGCCGTTCAATCGATTGTATTACAAGACAACCCGCATTTATCGGGTGAAATATCACTATCTTGGAACAACATTTGGACCTTTGGCGCTGTATGCAATATTTGCCGAACGAAGATCTGTGGACCTCGTCTTTCGATGATGACCTTTGGGTATGGCTGCCTGCCGCAGTCAGCGCTGTCATTGTTGGCTAGCCCGGTGACCATCAGTACTATTGCGAAACTGTCTGCAGCTTCGACGTTTGTTGACAACGTCTCGTGTCCTTCCAGTGTGACACCGCGCTCGTTAACTACAAGTCGCTCTGATATTTACGTTGTTCCTCACGACTCGGCCATTCCGATTGTGCCTGTGGTGTCGGCCTCTGGTTGTGCTGTCGGTGAGCGCAGTTGCTCAAATGCTGGTGCCAGTTGCATCTTCTGGTGCGCTTCACGCTTTGCAGGCGGCGCTCGTTGTACAGCACCTGCAAGCCGCATGTGCTGCGGAACTGTCGACGGGACCGATAACTGATAACACCGGTGCAGACAGTTGTTGTGATGCGTCGACGAGTCCCTCACAACTTGTCCTTGAGTCTGTCGATAGTAGCTACCCCCAGTTCGCTGGAGCTGTGGTTGGTAACACCATCATTGTCGTGGCCTATGGTTGCGTTCGAACTCTTTTGCGTCTCGGACTTCGAAGCGCCTCCTCGTCGCATTTCTTTTGTTCTCATCTGATGGAGCTTGTCGACACAACTAACGTTGCAACGATTTGGCCTGTGTTTACAAGCTCCATCAGATGAGAACAAAAGAAATGCGAC